ATTGCAACATCAATCATCATCATCAGTTTTCTTAATTTTCCGTTCTTTTATTATCCTTTCTACTCAGTAACGTTTTGTCATTTTCTTTAACCTTCAGTAACCACTTGCTTCTAAGTGGCATTATCGACTTACTTGGAGTGAACTGATTAAAAAATAAATAGATTAGGGAAAAGGTAAGTATATGCTTTTTAAATTCATATTTCACGTCTGTTTTGAAATTATTTGAAATTTTATATGTAAACAATAAGCATTTAAAAACAACACGTGAAATTGTAAGTAAGAATATGTTTTAGTTTTAAATAACATAAATTAATAAATATTAACTTTTTAAAATTTTAACTTGAAATTATTTGAAATTTTGTAAAGCGAGAATACGGTTTTTACTTTTATGTATGAGCATATTTTGTTTGTGTAAAATAAATTTACAGAGCAAACAGAACCTCTCCTCTTATGTTGTGGAGTAAATAATATAGCCCCAGTGACTATATAAACTAGTCTATTACTATAAAGAGTTCCAGGTAAGAGGTAAGACATTGTGGTAACTACCACCACCATTACATACACACAGAAATCATGCGACAAGTATTCATTGGTTGTTCTCCTCAAAACTAGCTTGCTGATTCCGACCAATCAAATCGCCTGCACGCGAGGAATAATTTTCCCGCGCACAAGCTTCTGGGCCTACCACGTGATTCACAGCCATATATAAACTAAACAAAACACGAATAAGCTCCCCCGTGTTCTCTTCAGTCTCTCTTACGTCTCGATCCTTGCTGCCAAAATGTAACCTTCAAGAACGCCCGTCTTGACCATGCAGTCAGACGTTAAAGAACATTTCAGCATTCACGCAAGTACAACTCTTCTTCTCTTACCAACTTTATCCAATACACAATTCCTAACATGCAAAAGGAACTTATTCTTCTAAACTACAGTTTAATAATTACTTCATCTTTATGAGCTCAGGTACAAATATTTCCAAATCTAAGAGATATAACTCATTCAAACCTTCAGCTTATATGCATGTACATCAACACTAATAAATTCAATTATTATGTTTTGAATCACTACATTCTGTCTTGTATTTTATACTATGTGCTATTTTACGTCAAATATAAATCGCATTGTGCACGCCACATTGGATAGTAACCTCCAGCGTCTTTGCTTTCCTTAATCACGCCTTTCCTAGCAAAAGATAAATATATGTAGTACACACTCACTTCTACGACATTGTGTCACAGCTCATCCCAGTAGGGGAACTGGGTAAATACCTAGTCGTTTCGAGCCAGGCAGTTTCGGGCAAAGGGTGACTTGGTCGAGGCTCTGTCTCTGAATAGAGACTCGGCTGAGAAAAACAGAATAGTAAAGTACGCGCTACCCGGGATGGGTAAATTTTGGGCCAGTTGCTCGAGTGTACGCACCCGAATCCCCACATTAAACCTGACCTTGTGTCGCATTCCGTCTAAGTGGGAAGTCCTGGGTTAAATAACTAGTCATTTCAACCCTGGCAGTTCGCTGTCTGGCTTGCAACTGACAAGACTTCTGTCTTCGGGCAAAGGGTGACTCAGTCGAGGCTCTGTCTTTGGATACAGACTCGGCTGAGAAAACGAGCCAAGTAATGTACACGATACCGTTTTGCGGGGGATGGATAAATTTTGACCATTGGCCCGAGTTGACTCGTTCGGGTTCCCCACAATAATCCCGAGCTTGTGTAACATCTCATCCCAGTGTGATGACTTGGCAAATAGCTTGTCGTTTTGAGACAGGCAGTTCACTGTCTGGGTTGTGACTAACAAGACCTTTGTCTTCAGGCAGTGGTTAACTCAGTTGGGTTTTTGTCTACAGATAGAGACTCCGCTGAGTAACACAGACAAGCAAAGTGCTCGTTCCCCGCATTTACAGGGAATCGGCAAATTTTGGACTAGCGACTCCAGTGTTTGCACTCAGGTTCCTCACGTTAAACAAGACCTTGTGTCGATTCTTGTCTAAGTATGGGTTTAATACCTAGCAGGCAGTTCGCTCTCTGGCTTGCGACTGATAAGACCTTTGTCTTTGGGCAGAGGGTGACTCAGTCGGTTCACTGTCTTCGGATAGAGACGCGGCAGAGAAAAACAGACAAATACCCGTTCTCTGTCGTTGTGGGGAATGGTCAAATTTTGGACCAGTTGCCCGAGTGTTTGTGCTCGGGTTCCTCACGTTAAAACTAACCTTGTGTCGCATCCCGTCTAAGTAGGAAAACCTAGGTAAATACCTTGTGGTTTCGACCCAGGCAGTTTGCAACTGACAAGACCTCTGTTTTCGGTCAGAGGGTGGCTTAGTCGAGGCTCTGTCGGATAGAGACTCGGCTGAGAAAAACAGAGAAATAATGTACTTGATTCCGTTTTTGTGGTTGCTGGGTAAATTTTGACCATTGGCCAAGTGGACTCGTTCGGGTTCCCCACAATAATCCCGAACTTGTGTCACAACTCATCCCAGTTGGGGTACTAGTTAAATACATAGTCGTTTGGAGTTAGTTTGTTGTCTGGCTTGCCAGTGACAAGAGCTCTGTTTTCGGGTAGACGGTGACTCAGTCGGAGCTTTGGCTGCGGATAGAGACTCGGTTGAGTAGAACAGACAAGCAAAGTTCTCTTTCCCCGCGTTTGCAGGGAATCGGTAAATTTTGGACCAGCGGCCCGAGTGTACGCACTCGGAATCCCCACGTTAAACCTGGCCTTAAGCCGCATCTCGTCTAAGTGGGGAGGCATGGGTAAATAAATACCTAGCTGTTTGGAATCAGGCAGATCGCTGTCTGTCTGCGACTTTGGGCAGGGTGTGACTAAATCGAGGTTCTGTATGCGGATACAGAGTCGGATGAGAAGAATAGACAAGCAAAGCGCCCGTCCCCTCCCCCCCCGTGTTGGCAGGAAATGGATAGATTTTGGACCAACCTGACCTTGTGTCGCATCCCGTCTAAGTGGGGAGGCCTAGCCGTTTGGAATCAATCCTCAGACTAAGTAATCCAGGCGTCACTCAAAGTAGCCGAAACATTACGCAATCCTTATACGAAATACATTATATAAGTAATATAAAAGTTTTTAAAAGTGCGTTAACAATAGCCATAGAATAGTGGCGTTATAAAATTGAAAAAAGAAATGAAATAAATCAAAATGTTTCTTTTGATATTCGTGATCTGCAGTGGCTATTCGGTATTAGTTTGAAAAAAAAAAGAGGTACATTTCTGTAGAAAAGATTGTCATTCGCCTTATTTAAAAAAAAAAAAAAAAAAAGAAAAAAGAAAGAAAGAAATAGGCATTGGAATAGTTCGTGTCCCAAGTGGGTGAGGTATTTTCCATATTTTTTTTAAGTCAGTAGTTAATAATGCCACATTGCAAGTTTTCAACGATCGGACCTTTTTTAAAATAGTAAATAACAATATAATCGAATTGTTCTTTTCTTTCTTTACAATTTTGACAAAAGAAAATAATTTTTTCTTTAGTTTATTAAAAGAAAATATAGTATTTTTTTCACAAAAAAACAAAAAAAAAAAAAAAAAAAAAAAAACCTAGTCTAAAAAACTTAACTTAATCAACATTTTGCATGAAAAAAGTAATGGAACCGAAATTGTAAAATAACAGAAATTACTAAGTGTGTGTTTAGTTGAAATGCTTTTTAAATCTTTTTCTACAGAAGATGGAAAATGCAATCAGATAATCAAGTTTTCCATTTTTATGAAAAATTAACACGTTTTAATTCAATTTCTAACTTTTTAAAGAAAATGTTTTTGAAAGTAAAATAAAATCTTTTATTTTTTTATTCGTTATTCTATTTTAAAAGCGCCGGATGTAAAAAATAAGATTAAGAAAAAATAAATGAATGAATAAAAAGTTTTCTTTTCCAATCAGTTCATTTCCTAATTGTAGGAGAAACAAATAAGTCTTGTTGCATTTTAAATTACTAATCATGAATAATAAAGCTGTGTGCAAAATGCACGTGTTATTGTTTACAACAAAACGTGTTAGTTTTCCTCACTATTTTGAATTTTGGAGATAAGTTTTCTTATCCGATAAGACATTTAGCAATTGGTCAAGAGATCGTTTCATTTTAGAATTCTTTTTTGTGGTGAGGGTATTTATGTGGTGCATACAATAGGCGTGTAATAAATGCAAACTGAATCATTATGCACAAAATTGCTTGTCAATGTCATTTAAGAGACGTGGTGCTTGCATATGACTGAAAAATTGGGTTGTTTTAAGTTTTATACATATTTATTTATCTGCGCCAATCTCTAGTTTCAGTTTTAGTGCAAATTCTGATGTTTTGATTGGTTATAATTTGAATCGTCATGACGACAAAGACTACAACGTTACTGATTGGTTGTTTTTGGACCCACCGTTCGATTTTATTCAAACATGGCCGTTTGCACCTAGCGCAAACAAGCAGTTCGCTATTTTCTTATGTCTGTTAGCAGCAGTCTGTTGGTAGTGACAAGAGTTGGGGAACAGCAATCTATTGCTACTACTACCACTTTGTATTTATTACTGCCTGCACCAAGCACTTTAACAACTTAAAGCTAGCAACAACAGTTATACCTGCTGTACAAAAAAGGGAAAAGAACTAACATTTCAATGAAAGAAACGGAAGTAAAGAATTCGTACTTCGATGATTGTTTTTTCTTTTCTTGTTGAGAAATGAATATTTAAAGAAGAGGAGAAAGAGAACTTGATACTATTACTATCTTTAGGTTTTATAAATAAATACTATATAGCACTAATTGTTACTACTAGTACTGCTGCTGCTGCTCTGACTGCTTGTACTTGACGTTGAGTCGACAGCATTCTTCTACTTCTCTTACTCTTCGCAATCTGGATTATTCGCTATTCCCCGTTTAAAGTTGTAATAATAGCAGACAGTTTGTGTTGTCCTCGTGGTCATTTATTGACATTACTTTCCTTGTCCTATTCAGAGAACAGAATACATTTTATCACCGGTTGCATTAAAGTAGGAGAAAGATCTCTGTTTAGAGCATGGCAGATGGATACGATATGGTGGGGAGCGCTGCCGAGTATATACCAGGTAAGTAAAAAAAAAGTCCCAGGATCATTTTTCTTTGCATGATCATCCTGGTTGGTCATCATCATCGTCTTCATCACTTGTTGTTCTCATAAAGTATATATAAACTTTATATATACTCTCTTTCATAATCACTGTTTACTTCTGATTTAACACTTTTAGTCTGCAGAATATTTCCGTCACATAACTGCGATGCCGTGTAAGCACTCGTTTCGTTTACCATTGAAAAATCTCTATAAAATATTTAAAACAAATGTGAATAAAAAAATTCTTAAAGAAAAAATTAATTCGGCCTAATTTTCCATTCATAGTTCATTTGTTACATTAATTGAATTTTTACTTAATAGCAAAAAACTAAACAGGTGATTCCATATGATTACAAATACAAACAACAGCTTTTCTTTAATATTTAAAAACAAAATTGTACTTTTCTTTTAAGACCTGTATTTTTTCTAACGGTAGAATTTGAATTCATAGTCCGCCAAAGTCAAACGGGGGTTTCTATCACAAATCATTAATCTCTTAGTAGAGGATCTACTTAACACTTACGAACCTTTATTTTATCTGATCGTCCTTAACAACAAACAAAAGAAGGATTTGAAAAGAAGGCTTACCACTCTTTAAATGATTTTCGTTTTAAAAGTGTTTTTGTACTATCATTTGATAACCATTATGAACTTTACGATTTCCTATTCGCACTAAGTCAAACTCTTAGATAAAAAAAAAAAACATTACTGAAACAAAATACAAAAAAAGCAGGAAAGGAAGTAATAAATTATTTAATTATCCGATGCATTTTAAAACAAATGATTGTTGTTTTTTTTAAAGTACAGTACTTTTACTTTGTAATAATTCCAAAAATGTAGTCCAATTTCTTAATCGACACGATGTTATTTTTTTTTACATAACATTATAATTTCTATAATCATGGATTTAATTTCAATTCCATTTATTTTGAACATTCAATTTTTCGAAGCTTCTCTTCTTCATTGCATGTGTTTTTACATTTTTTATTTTTTCCGAATAAAAATGTGACGATCTTTTTCTCCGTCCTAAAAAAGAATAAAAAATTCTTTTTAGAAATATATCACAGATATTTCTAATTTGTTCATAAGTTGATGTCATTTCAATTTCTTTTTTTCTTCTTATTCACAATATTATGATAAAAATGCCATAGTTCTTGGGGGTTACTTTTTTAAAGTGTTTTTTAGTCTGCATCACATTATTTTTTTTCTGTAGGTCATTCACATCATCAGTAAAAAGATTATAAATTCATAAATTTTATGATTTAAATAAAAAAAATTTACTGACTCATATCAAAAGGAATAAACATTTTAAATTTAAAGAAGCTTTATTTTTCATGTTCATTTTAATTTGCTCATATTTCAATTCTTCAGGTGATTTCACTTGGTCTTCAATGTAGTCTGCTATAATGATGATGAACGTTTGTTATTTGAATGGAGAACTCACATTAACAAAACTAACACTACCTACACAGCTTTTTCCTACACAGCTGTTTTGATTAGAACAAATTTTTATTGTCAACAGATATTTCTATAGTTTCAAATAAACTAAGATAAATTATCTCTGATGTTTTAGTCATCGGCACAAGTTTTAACTGGGTATGCTTTTTATTAGATTCGTCGAGCTATGAATTCTTTATGGGACTACACACATGATGAGACGTATGATGTAATAATTGGACTAAGAAGATCTTTACAAATTTATTTATGATGGATTCTTGCAAAACATTAGTTGGAACAGTGTTAATAACATTATACAAGTTGATTGTTTACGTATCCTGTGCGTGTCATGCACCATTGAAACGATCAAGTTGCAGTTTTCATTGTTTGTTTGTTTTTTTACCCAACCACTGATTTTTGCACGTTCTTCTTACTTTTTTTGTTTGACATTTAAATGACATACTTTGTTTTTATTTCCTTTTTTCTTTTGTTGTTTATGAATGACATCTCTAAAGAACGATATCTTGTGTCATTAACTTTGTCTATTTTTAAACATTTTATTTTTATGACTTATCACTTACTGATATTTTATGATTTTATTTTTTTAATAAAACTTCAAAAAGATTTAAAATAAATCCTTTGTCCATTTTTACAAGTTAAATGCAGGCAATGAAAAACTTGTAAATAAACGAATCATTTTAGTGACTTCAATAATAATAATAATAATAATAATAATAATAAACTAAACACGATGTCATATTTTTTCGCTTTTTCCTGAATTTTTTTATTTTTAGAATCAAATTTTTATTTTACCTATTTTTGTGTACTGTAGTTTTCATTCAAGGCTGATTTGTGAAAAGAATTGTCAAACTCAAACAGTATCAAATGGAACTTTTCTTGTTCGTTCCTGTATTTCAAACGTAATCTAACGAACTGGGACATTGCAAAAAAAAAAAAAAAGAAAAAAAAGACAAGTTGAGAATAAAACGTATCATTGCTTTTTCGCACTTGAAAAATCTTTTAAAGGAAATTTTTACACGATAATTATATCAGATCATTTAAACTCAGCTTTCGTTAACTAGTGGTTTGGTTTTAAAATATTTTAAAATGATTTGTAACATCATTTGTACTTTTATTTCTTTTTCAATTCATTATTTGGTTCAGGTTATGTCATCTTCTCTGTTAGTGATTTGACTACCACCCCCACAAGTGACTACTGGAAATATTTGAATTTAATTTACTAGGCAACCTGCTCAGTCAAATAGGAATAAAAGTAAAACATGATAAAAATTAATTTCATATTCCTAGGTTATTTTATAAAATTAACCGTAATTATTTTTGTAGCAATAACGTTTCAAAGATTTTAAAATATTTTTCTTTGAAAGTTCTTATTTATTATCACTGACATTGTAAGAAATATTTTATTTTCACTTATAACATTTTAAAAATTATTTAAGCAATTTTATTCTTTTATACATTGTGCGCCACTTGATTTGAATTTGTAAAAATGTAACGGCAAAATTCTGCGTTGTTGTAGGCCAATGTTTTACTTTTTAGAGAGGTATTTCTATTCTTGCGTTGTCAGTAAATAAATAAATATCTTTCTTTCAATAAGTTATTTCTCTCCAAGATTATCAAGGTTTGTTTTTCAAAAGAGAAAATTATTCAATATGCACGAACTCAACGCTCTTAAAGGCAAACAATTAAGTGCCACCAAGCATTTTGCTAGTTTAGTGTTTCCTTCTCTACCTCTCTTTTTCGATTTCAGCATTTGACATTTCCTTTTCTTCTCTTCGTCGTTTAGTTGCATTAATTCATTACCTAGAAGCTAAATTTGAATCTGTGTCAGTTAGGAAAGAAGAAAACTAAGACCCCCACCTCCGGTTAGTAAAGAAAGGAGAGAGGGCAGAAAAAAGGTAACGAGAGAATACGCCACAAGTTGCTTAAAAAGCCAGTCGCAGCTGTTCGCCTTTTGCCAATTTCCTTTTTCCCCTCGTTCTTTTCAACATTTTGGTTTCTTTAAAGCAAAACAATTTAGCAAAAGAAAAAAAAATGATATTGCAATATTTCCCCCTGTTTTTGTTTATTGATTTTTAAAAATATTACTTCTGCTTATTAGGCATTACGATGTATATTCTGTTTGTTTTGGAGCGAGTTTTTACAACTGAGCTTCTTAAATGTTTTTTTTCTTACTTTCAAAGGTTTTGGCTCGGCAGAAAATAAGCCATAAAATTTTTTTTTTAAAGGCATTAAATTGAAATATCTTTGAGCGACGACATATATTTTTTGAAAAACATAGTCAAATAATATTTTTTGCTCAACAAATTCCAGATTGAATTTGGAAGGTGGTAAAACCGTAGGAAGTTCGTGTCGCCTTTATAAGGTGAAGTAAGAAAGTCAAAAGAAACAGTTGTGAATTTATTCGACGAATAGTATTTTATTTTCTATGTATATCATCATAAGGTTTATTATAGCTTTGTTTTTTTTAATTGTCAAGCAAGATTACCTTGAGCAATGTAGGGATTGAAACATTTTATAATTCAATAATTATATAAATTATAATTTAAATTGGTTAAATTTTCTGTAGAAGTGAATGGAATGCATAAAGAAAGACTAAGAAGAGTAAAACAATAATAAATAAATAAATTTTAACCAGTAAAAATAAAAATGTATTTTTTTTCGGATGTCGTCCATCCGGGAAGAATTTTTATTTTGTATTAAAAAAAAAATCAAAATAAATAATCGATATCATTGTTAATTGACTTGAGATTTATTAAGGTTAAGCATGTCTGATTATTGGCTGCTCAGATAGCTTTAAAAAAAAAAAAAAAAAAAAAAAAAAAAGGAAGATTGTGTTGTGCCAATTTAATCCAGTAGTTAAATTGTCTGTTTGACTTTAAAAATGTATGCAGAATCTTGGTTTAAACTCGGACTCTAACCTCTGGGGATATAAACTGCAAATACAGAATGAACAATAACACTAACAGTAAACAGGCTTTTTTTGTTTAAACAGAAACTGCATTATTATATTGAATGAGAGTTTTGAGGACAGTGTCCTGGTAAAAAGAGCAAGCGTTTCGAAGGATGGCATAGAAATTATTTTTTTCATTCATTAAAGCATTCCTGAAAATGACCTCGGAACAAACAACCAAATTAAGACAATGAGTAAAAAAATGTTACTCCAAGATTTTACTATCGCAAAATTCAGAAACTGGCCCCTGAAAGATTTTTGTCCTTAGGGCCTTATTAGATTGGATTGGACGGTATTTGCCAATATGCATTCCTATGCTTTACCCAGTGCTACAATAAAATTATTCATTGAGAAGTAAACACTGCTACGTCCAGATGTTTGCTTCGTGTTTTTACAATTTGGGTAATAATTTCATTCATTAACCATTCATTAGTTCACCACTGCAAAGAATTGGGGGTGGAACTTTTAATTTAATGATCATTCAGAAATCAGAATCATGTACGCACAGAATAGCTGTTGAAATTGTGTGTTCACTAAGCTAAGCAAGTTCTGCTGTTTACTAAAAAATT